AGGGAGTTGGCAGAGTTCCAGGGCATGTTTGGGGCATAGCTACATCCCAGTCCACCTCCCTGAACTAATGTCACCCCTCTGCTCTCTCCCCTGCTGGCCTCTTATGGACTTCATGGGGATGCCCACCTCCCCGCACCAGGCACCGACTCCTACATATACAAATGGTCTCCGGCCCCAACAAGATCATCTTGACTCTGGAAGATGTTACTTTGCTCCACCCACAGGGGGGCAGCTCTCGAAAGGTCAGGAAAGCCGGGAGCCAGGAGTCATCGGTCCCTTCCCCGAGCCTCCCCACCCCCACCCCCGCCTGCCCGCCAGCTCCCATGTGAGAAACTTAGCTTCTGCCCCAGCTTTGTCATTGGGAACAGAGACCTCATCTACGCAATAGGGGTGACAGTCCAGTCTTGGCTGATGTGAAGGTCCAGCTAGAAACTGCATATCTGTTTTGTAAAGTGTAAAGTATGGTGCATTAGGTGCCCTTTCCACCTGGGTGCCCTTTCCACCTGGCCTGCAGATTTCTTTTCCTCCTCTCTGGCACCCACAGAACTCAGCCTCACCCCAGGACTCTGGTCCCAGATAGATGCTGATATTGGCTTTGACCTCTGTCCTCAGATGGCCCAGGGCAGTAGATCCAGTCTGGCTACCTGGAGTACATCAGACATCCGCAGCGTCCCCAGCCAGGCCCCAGAGAACACCAACATTGGCCTCTATGAGGTGAGCTGATCCCCAGTTAGCCTGACCCTTACTTCAGGAAGGGAAGAAAAGGAAGGATGCTGGGACCAGAGTCAGAGGAAAAGTACTCCGGCTGAAGTGGGGGGAGGGGGAAGGGCAGGTCGCATCTCGCAGGCTTCAGGCAGGGAGATGAAGCTGGGCACGGACTTAGCAACCTAATCTGGAAATCCACTCTGTCACAAGTCCAGGTGAGGACTTCCCAAAACTCAAAAGCTGGAGGCTGGGGTGCTGTGAAGTTTGCTGGGATCAGCTTGCAAGCTGGTGTAGCCAGTGGGGTCAATTCCTTCTCTACTAAGAGTTCCTTGCCCCACCCCCTCAGCATTTTCAACCAGTTCTGGTCAGATTCACAAACTTACTTCAGGGAAGGACTGTCGGAGGACACTAACAACTGAGCCAGGACATGTGCGAGTGCCACGGGACTTGTGAGTGTGCCACGGGGTGTGTGAGTGTGCCACGGGGCATGTGAGTGTGGCATGGAACATGCGAGTTTGCCACAGGATGTGTGAGTGTGCCACGGGGCATGCAAGTGTGGCACAGGTTGTGCAAGTGTGCCACGGGGTGTTTGAGTGTGGCATAGGTCGTGCGAGTGTGCCACGGGGTGTGTGTGCCACGGGGCATGCGAGTGTGGCATGGGACGTGTGAGTGTGGCAGAGTGGGTGAGGGATACTGAGAGGAGGAGTGGAAAACTCAGCAGGAGGCATGTGGAGCTGCCCTGAGCTCCTGGAAAGGAAGCAAAAGTTCTTACGGTGTCACCTGAGACCATGGTGACTGCTTCTCAGAGACAGTTATTGTTATTTTAAGCAGGTTGTTCTTTGCCTGGGACCACCCTCTGCCTTTGCTAAACCTTTCTTCTCTCTGACCACGCCCACTAGATGCAACTCCCAGTCTTTAATGACCATTATAAGGTATCTCCGCATTATATCCAAATGCCGATCTGGAATCGGTACCCAATTCTCAAGATTCTCTTGTAGTTCACATCTCTTAGCAAGGCCCAGGGGAAATTAAGAACAAAAGGCGACAGCAGCTGATCACTGCCAGCGGCTACACTGTGGCATGCCACGGACTGACCCTGCAAGCAGCCAGAGACAGTGAGGCCAGGACCCAGTAGCTAGTTCACAGTAACCCCTGAGGGCTCCAGCACAGTGCTCTCTCCTGACAAGGGGTAGTGATGTGGGCTGCATATGTGTGAGTGTTGATGGCTGTATCTGGGGAGTGAGGACCACCACACACGGCTTCACACCTTCCTCACTGGCTCTGACTCAGCTACCTGCGGAACATATGGGCATACGTTGAGCTGCTTGCATCTGATATTCTGTCTTATGACAGATGTATTCTGGGTCACTGGGTCAGTGGAAATGGGAGCTCCCTGGAACACCTTGCATCTCGAGGTTTTAAGGACTGAATTCCTTAACCTTCTGTTACAGGGAGACTGGGTTTGGCTGAAGAAATTTCCAGGGGATCGCCATGTGACTATCCGGTCAGCCACCAAGACAGCCTTCTCCAAGGTAACCCGTGACGGGGAGTAGGTGGCTATTAGTATGCCCATTCTTGGCTTCTTTTTGTAGCAGGCTACGGGGGAAATCCTCAGGTTTTCCTTCCATGCCAGAGAGGCTCTCCCACCATCCTCTCTCATGAAATTACCTTTTTTCTTTGATGTTCTTATCACAACTTGTATGTAACAAGTGACATGTTAATTTATCACAAAAGTTGTGTGTTTAACCACAGTCTGGCTTGTCTGCCTCCATCGTGAGCTGGCAGCTGAATGAGGGTGCTACCGTATTCCCAGAACCCAGCACAGGTCTGGAATATCGGAGGCCAGTGGAATTGTGTTGAGTGAAATGATTAAAAAACAAAACAAAGCAAAACAAAACAAAAACAGTAAAAAATGAGAAGGCGGCGAGATGGCTCAGGGACCAAGGTGCCTGACCACCTGAATTTGTTCCCCAGAACCCACATCAGCGGAAGGAAAAAGCCGACTCCTACAAGCTGCCCTCTGATCTCCACATGGGGGCCATGGCACATTCGTGCCCACACGTGTGCACCTACGCAGATATGTGCACACACAAACAAACCTTTTTTTTCAAGGAAACAAATTTAAATGGGTTTCCGCTTCTGGGAGGACACACAGCTGTCAGAACGGCCCCGCTGTGCCCACATAGTGAATAAAGTGGGCAGCTGGCTGTGAACTCATTTCAATGCTTTCAGCTTCCAAGTCCCTCTTCCCCCAGCGCTGAGCATCTTTGGTTTGACCTCTTTTCAGGAGGCAGCCATGGGAGCTTGTGGTCACAGCTGCCAGTGACTTAAGTGGATTGCCTTTGGGGTGTGGGCAAAGTCACCAGGTCTTTAAAATGAAAGCAGCTCCTTAAACGGGCATGTGGCCCCATGGAAAAATGGAAAGCAATGGCATTTGGTCTCTCTGGTCCTTCATTAAAGACTGCCATATTAGGAAGAGCAGGTGGTGGCTCCTTTGCGCGCTGCTTTCCCTTATGGCTTCACTTAACTCTGCAGTTAATTTAGTCCCTCAGCAAAGTGGGTCCTGACTGGGCCCTAATTCCCAGTGTGTGCTTATCTTTTCATTCGTAAGTTTAGCCATTCATAATCTGAGCAGAACTACGTGGAGAAGAAAGTCTTCCCACTTCTGCCCTATTTTACTTACCATATTCAGTCCTACATTCCCAGTTTGGATGTCCCCAACAAACAGGCACTGAATACCGGGGTGTGGGGAATAATTGGTGCTCTGTGTATTGCCTCCTGGGAAAAAAAAAAAAAAAAATCAGTTGGTTTCTGCCTTTCAGCTGCGGGAGCTCCGGCATGAGAATGTGGCCCTCTACCTGGGGCTCTTCCTGGCAGGGACAGCAGACAGCCCTGTCACACCTGGGGAGGGTATCTTGGCAGTGGTCTCAGAGCACTGTGCTCGGGGCTCCCTCCATGACCTCCTGGCCCAGAGAGACATAAAGCTGGACTGGATGTTCAAATCTTCTCTCCTGCTGGACCTCATCAAGGTGTGTGTGTGTGTGTGTGTGTGTGTGTGTGTGTGT